CACACACACACACACACACACACACACACACACACACACACACACACTTTCTTATACTCTCAAATTCCTTGCTTCTTTGTCCTTTCACTATTTAAGCCTTGCCAAACTCTAACCCTGGATTACTCCCACCATTTGCCTCATCTGATCCTACTTATGTGATGCTGAACAGAGCTGGTGGAAGTCTTGGAACTATGCTGATTAGATCTACTACAAATTTATGTGATCTCATTTCATCTGGGCCTTTATCACAGCAAGACAAAATTTTTATTCCTCCCAAATTGATTCTCTTTCCTTCTCTACAATAACTGTTTAAGCCATTTCTTTTCTTCTCAATATTTCACTATCCCTTCAGCCCTTCTCTACCAATACCCAGGTCATTCTCCATTTTTTTCTCAAAGTCAGTATGTGGCTCATTCTTTTCTTTTTCTCTTCGGTTCCTGCTCCTACACTTGGGGCCTTCAACATACACATTGATGCTCCCTGAAACATCCTAACCTCTCAGTTTCTCTATCTCCTCAGATCCCACGACCTGCTCCTCTACTCCACTTCAGCCACACACAGAGTTAGAGACACTTTGGATCTTGCCATCATCCACGTGTTCCATTTTAATAATGAAAAACTATGAGATTTCCTCCATCTGATTATAAACTATCATTCGACTTTCCCTATGCTTTACCCTTCCTAGGATTACTTTTCGTCATATCGTGACTTCTGATACCTATGGGTCTCATGTGACCATTATTTATTCCTATTCTGTATTCATTTCTTATTTCTCAATCTCAACCAGGTAGTTAACAAGTTCAACTTCAGAGTCTTTTATCCTTAAATGTCTTTTCCCATTTTCCCGATTTCCTACTCTTTCTTTGCCAAAATGCAAACTTGGATTGCTGTTACCGTCTGCCTCCTCTTCTACTCCTCAAATGCTGCTGTATAGAGTTACAAGGAGCTGCCTGTGTCTACTATACATTTGTTATCTAATCCCAGCTGGGCACTCATTGCAGCAAGGCAATCCTTTTCCTCTTCCTTAACTGATTCCTTATTCCACTGTCCACAGAGGCTTTTTCATATGTTATTGTTTCTTTTGAAACTTCCTTTTCCCCTTACCCTCTCAGCTGAGTTTCTTGCCTCATGCTTTACAAAACCAAAACAAAACTGGACTATCCAGTGAAACTCTACTGTAATTCCCTATTCTTCACTTGACAATCCAGTCTCCTCTTTTCACAACTGTTTGACCTCCCTCTCCACCACTGCCTCCTTTATTCCAGTCTCTAATGAAGAGATGATCTTTCTCTTCAGCAAGGCCAGTACTTCTAAATGGACCCTCAATCCCATCCCCTCCTGACTTCTCCATCATATTCTCTTCACTATTACTCTTATTCTATCTTGAATTTTCAGTTTCTCCTTATCTACTGGTTTCTTTCTTGTTGCCTACAAAGATATCAATTCTCCTTTGTTCCTAAAAACCCTCACTTAGGGTTACCCTTATTCTTTATCTTTCTTCTCCTTTAAAACTTCTTTAAAAATCATCTATACTCAGTCTTTCCACTTCTTCTCTCACTAATGCATTATTATCAGCCTTGCTGCTGTACCCTAAGGACCATGGAATTTTTCCATCTTAATGAAACAGAAACTTTCTGTATGTGTTATTTCCCATAATAGAATATGAGCTCCTTAAAAAGGGGAATATCTTGGTTTTCTCTTTGCATCCCCAGTGCTTAGCATGGTTCTTTGTAATAGTAAGCACTTCATAAATATTTTTTCATTCATTCTCATTTTCATTTTCTTTGTATTCCCCTATAATCTGACTTCTTGCCTCATCATTTAACTGAAAATTCTTCTCCAAAATTATCAACAATATCTTACTGGTCAAATTTAATAGCCTTGGGCCAGCTAGGTGGTACAGTAGATAGAGCACTGGCCCTGGAGTCAGAAGAACTTGAGTTCAAATCCAGCCTCAGACACTTAATAGCTGTGTGACCCTGGGCAAGTCACTTAACTCTGATTTCCTCTGTCCCTTACCCCCCCCCCAAAAAATTAATGGCCTCTTCTTTGTCCTTTTCCAACTTGAATTCTCTTTAATGCTTGACAATGTTGACCAAGATCTCTGTTTTCATGGCATTGATTCTCCTCCTACCTATCTGACCACTATTCATCTCCTTTGCTGATTCATAATCCTTGTCCTTTCCACTAACTATGGGTCTATCCCAGACCTGAGCCCTCTTCTCTCTTCTCTCAGTGCTCTTTGTCTCTTAGTTACCTGATCAGCTTTAATGGATCCAAATACAATCTCTACACAGATGGCTCCCAAGTCTATATATCTAGCACTGGTCTCCATTTTAAGCTCTAGTCCTGTATCAGTGACTGCACATAAGACATTTTGAACTGCATGTCCCGTAGACATCTCAAACTCTGTATGTCCTAGATAGAACTTATTATCTTTCCCCAAAACCAATCCTTCTTCTGAACTTCCTTTTATTATCTAATGTACCACTGTTCTTCTAGTCACTCAGATTCTTTAACTTGGTGTCATCTTTGACTTCTGCCTCTCACTCAGCTTACATTTCCATTCCATCACCCAATATTTTTGTCTGTGTCTCCACAATATCTCATAGACATCCCTTCCTTTCTATTCACACAGCAACAACCCCAGTTTAGGCCTTCATCACCTCTTCCCTGCATTATTTTTATAGCCTTTTCTTTGCTCTTCCTGCTTAAAGCCTTTCCTGACTCCAGCATATTCCCCACTCAGCTGCCAAATTGATTTTCCTAAATTTCAAGTCTGATTATTGATTCACTGTTCAGTAAACTCTGGAATTTCTTATTGCTTCTAGAATCAAATATAAATTCCTCAGTTTCACGTTTTAATCTTTTACTACCTGTCCCCTTCATGCCTTTCCAGTCTTCTTGAACTGTAATCCCCTCTTCAGACTTTGCAACCCAACCATACTAGCCTATTCACTGTGCAAAATAGTATAGCACTCTGTCTCCTGTCTCTTTGCACTGACTATCCTTCATGCCTGGAATGCACACCCTCCTCAATTCTGCTTTTTGAAATTTCTGGTTTCTTCAAGACTCAATTTAAATACCACCTTCTACATGAAGCCTTTCCTGGCACTCCGAGCTGCTAGTTCACCCTCTTCCAAAACTTGTAATTATTTTGTACACATTCCTTACATACTTATATGTATATACACATTGTTTCTCCAATTGAAATGTAAGTCCCTTGAGGGCAGGGACTGTTTCAATTTTTGTCCTTTTTTATCCCTAGTGCATAGCACATTGCCCATAACACAGTCAGCACTTAATAAATGATTGTTGATTGATCTCTTTGTGTTCTAGTCACATCTTATTCTTCCTGTATTTGCCATTATTTTTTTAAACCTAGGTACAGACTTTACATTTGTCCCTTCTTAAATTTCAGTTTTTGTATCCTGACAAAGCAAAGGCCAAATTGACTGTGAAGACTGAGGATGGGGATTGGCATTGGCATTTGGATAGTTTATGAATAGGGAGTATTTTCAAATTTTTTAAAAATTTAGGTTTTTCCATTGAATTAGAATTCATATTACTTTGACATCCAATCAATAATGTTCAAATAACTTTTATAATTAATATGTTCCAGAATCCTCCATTATTGTACATTGTTTTAACTTGAAGCTTCTTAATAGAGTGTTATATACTCTGTGATTCTTTAAGATAAAATTGAGGATGATGATACAGATCTTCATTAATCTCCCAGGAAACTACATTGTTTCCATTTTGAAATCATTGTTATGGGGTCAGATTACTAGATTATTTTGAGAGTCTCTGGTATATAATGCATGAAAAGTAATCTGCTACATGTCTAATGTAGAAATATGCTTGGCATAACATCATTTGTATAATTGGTATTGTATTTCTTGTCTTCTCAAAAAATTGGAGAGGGGGGTAAAGGGAGGGAGAGAATTTAGAACTGAAAATAAGAATAAAACAGAAATAATTTTTAAGAATGTAATCTGTTATGAATATAACCAACATTTGTGGGAGAATCTCTTTGGTCTTTGCAAGTAAAATGTAAACAAAACTTAGCTGCAGCATGGTCTAGTGGAAAGGACCCTGAATTTGCAGTCAGCGTTCTTGAATTTGTGCTTTGCATCTACCCCTACAATGAGATGTGTTTCAAAGGAAAAAATAAATGTTACTAGACACTGAAAAATAAAGTGATTATAAGCTGCTCTCAAGTATTACACAAACTCAATTGGGAAGAAGCAAAAATGGGACGTGTATTTGGGCATTTTTGACATTTACCTAATTTTATGCTTCCAATTCTGCCCCCAACCTGTGACTACCCCCAGCTACAGCGGAGTCAGTGGCCAGACCTCTTCCATGCAAGTTGTTTATTGATGTCTGAGCTTTCATTTTGTTATCTAGAACTGTTCTTTTTTTCAGGAGAGTCAAAGAAATGAGCTGCTTGAAACACTTTACAAACTTCCCATCCCTGATCCAGGAATGTCTGTCCATCTCAGTGTGGTAAGTGAGACAGACTACATGTCATTAAGAAGAAACAGTTTCATTATATAGTATTTAAAGGAAGACTTATTCAGATAGGATCATGGCTTTGAGTTTTTTAATGTTATTTTTATATTTTGCTTTTAAAAAGTACAATCATTTCAGAGCTTAGTTAAGTATGGGTATGGGGACAGGGAGAGTGCAGGGTGAAGGTGTTGGTGTTTTTTTATTGCAGTCTGCATACAATGATATAATGGAAAGAATTTGCTCAGAAGACCTGGTTTTCTAAGTCCTCTGATCCTGAATTCCAAACTTGTTAATCCCTAATTTTTCAATTCAGCAAATTTCTATTAACTCAATGTCTCAGGGTTGAAAGGGTTGTCAGAGGCCATTTAGTCCAACCTGTATATGAAACATGAATTTCCTCTACAACAATCTGTAGAAGTAAACCAACCTTTGCTTGAAATCTTTATGGGGGAGGGAGGTTGTTGGGGGGAGGGGATGGAAGAAGAGGCATGGGTGGAGGAAGAATTGGAGACCCACTACCTCCAGTCCCACTTTTTGTTAGGAAGTTTTTCCTTATATCAAGCCTAAATTTGTCTTCTTATCAACTTTACTTCATTTCTAATAGTTTTTATCAACAGAATAAATCTAATCCCTCTTTCCAGGTGACAACTCTAACATCACAAAGGCATATGTCATACATGGTTTGGCCTCTAGAAACAACATTGAAAACTTCTTGTTATCTCCAACCTCACTGATTTTCTGTGCCTAGTCTTTCTTTTAACAGTCTCTGCTCTGGACATGCCTTCTTCACATAACTGGTATCGCCTACCTGTTTTGGAATCTCTTTTACCTTGAACCTTCCATTCCAGAAACTTCCATTACTCACAGAACTTTACTAATTGGTGACTTCTCACCTGGGACATTCCTACCTGGGAAACCTATTATATGCTACTGAGAACCCATTCTTTCAGATAAAATCCTAGCTCATCGTCTGCATTGCTGAGCTGACCTGTTGTTTGGTCTGGAAGCAAAGTGTTCCTAAACCAGACTAAGAGGAGTGGCAAGTCTCTCAGAGGGTCAGCGATCTCTTTTCCTTTCCTGCCATTGCATGAAGACCATTTCATCCAAAGCCCCGATCCTCTCCTGGATGAATTGAGCCTGGGTCTTGCTGCTTCTGGAAGCTATGACCTAGATGTATCCCTTTTTGTATTTTGGTGACTGTCATCCAGGTGTATCAATTTCCCTGAACCTCTGTTCTCTTGATGTTCTTCTCATTTTCCTGGATTTCTCAAGTTAGGTCTTATGCCTCCCCTTGTGTGAATTAAAATGTGCCTGTAATAAAGACCTGTTGCTTTTAGCATTCCTGGCAGGTCTGCCTCTTCTGTGAAAATCTCTAAGTCTCCCAACCAGCTGGCATTCTCAGCACTCTCCAAAGTACTTTGTTTCATAATGGGAAGCATACTTCTGTTCTTTAAAAGATCTCCAATTTCATGGGTATGGACAAACCACTTGCTAATCACAGCCCCTTCTCACCTTAGTTGTTGCTTTTATGCATTCGGGGTGAAAAAAAAATTTCTCAGGTGCCAACTTTCTGGTAATGAGCCTTTTCTCACTTGGTTAGTCTGTTCCTTCAAAGTCAGTCTATCACCGAGCCCATACTTCAAGCTTTGCTGCCTTGGTGTGAGATCTGCCAGAGCTTGCACTTAACTGGCCTGACAATGGAGAGCAACTACACCCCATGATAAAGCTTCCAAAGAGAACTGCAGTAGAGGATGCATTTTCACATCTCTTCTTTGCCTTGGTTATTATAAATTCATACCATTCAGTTTTGATTATTTTGTTTTTCTGTCCATTTGTATTGTCATAGGCATTGTACATATGGTTTTCCTGTTTCTGCTTACTTCACTTTGAAGCAATTCATATAAATCTTCCCATGCTTCTCTGTAGTTGTAGTTATAGTTTCTTACAGTGTAGTGATATTCCATTACATTCATATAACACAACTTGTTTATCATTGCCCTATCAATGGGTGTCTAATTTTATTCCAGTTATTTGGTACTACAAAAAGTGTAGCTATAATTATTATAGTGTGTGTGGCCTTTCTTTATTGTCATTGACTTCCTTAGGGTATATAACTAGCAGTAGGATCTCTTAGTCAAAGAGCATAGACATTTTATTCACTTGTTTTTAGAATAATTACAAATTTCTTTCCAGAATGGTTGGAACCATTTTTTCTTTGTTTTGAAGGATGAAGTTAACATTCAGACAAGTCAGTAAGCTACTATCTGCTCAATTTTTGGCAGATAAGTCTGCCAAAAAGTTCCATTAGATGTCTGGATAATTGAAGTTCCTCCTTGCTGTTATATTTTACCTCAGTTTCAGGCTTGTGGTCTGTTTCTTGAATTCCTCATCGTTTTGTTTTGTTTTTTTCTATCCAGGTGGTGTCATATACTGTGATAACAACATTGCTTTTGTTTCTCCCTCCATTAATTGTCATCCAAATGCTCTCTACTGTGCTTCCACCTTCTACTTCCTGGATTTCCTCACATTATTGTACCTTCTTAACATAACTGCTACCCTACTCCCATTTTACCTATTCTATGTCTTTTAATATGTTTACTCATGCTTTTTATGTAACTTTTATTTTATTTTTAAAAATTAACATTCCTCTTTCTCTCTCATTCCTCCCCCTACCATGAAAGGAAAAAAAAATAAACAGACCTTTGTAACAAATATGCATAGTCAATCAAAACAAATTCCCACATTGACTATGTCCAAAAATATGTCTTATTCTGTACCTGCAGTCCATCGCCTCTCTTTCTAGGTGAGTAGTGTGGTTCATCATAAGTTGTCTAGAAATATGGTTGGTCATTGCATTGAACAGAGTTTTTAAGTCTTTCAAAGTGATTTGTCTTTACAGTGTTGTTGTTATTGTAGAAATTGTTCTTTTGATTCTACTTACTTCATCCTGCATCAGTTCATATAAATTTTCTCAGGTTTCTCTGAAACAATCCTATATCATTTCTTATGTCATGATGATGTTCCTTTACATTTATATACCATAATTTTTCTCAACTTATGGGCACTCCCTTTGTTTCTGATTCTTTGCTACAACAAAAAGAGCTGCTGTAAACATTTTTGTTCATATGGTTAATTTTCCTCTTTCTTTGATTTTTTTGGAGTACAAGTTTAGCAATGGTGTCCTTGGGTCAGAAAGTATGCAGTTTAGTGACTTTGGGAGCATAATTTCAAATTGCTTTCAAGAAAGGGTTGGTCAATTCACAGCCCTACCAGCAACTTGCCAGTATGCCTGTTTTCCCAAAGCCCCTCTGGCAATTCTGTTTCCTTTTTTGTTATCTTTATCAATCTGATATGTGGTATGCCTTCAAAATTGCTTTAATTTACATTTCTATTAATGATTTAGAGCATGTTTTTAGGTGACTATTGATCATTTAGATTGCTTCCTGTGAGAGCCTCCTGTTTGCATCCTTGGGCCATTTTCCTTATTTGGAATGGCTGAGCCATTTCCAGTCATCTTTTTCACTCTCCTAAATTTCCGTCATAGTTATGAGGTCAAATTTCTGTCCTTACATAAGGACAAGTTTACCATGTGCATGGCATAAATTTTAGGCATTTATATATAGATAGTTGAAGTCATGAGTTTTGATCATGGCTCCTTTTTTATGAACCTCTGAGTGTCTTAACTGTTACTCATCTTTCTTCATTGTAGCTGCTCTCGGCTGCATATGTCTTGATAGATATACATAAGCAATTTCTCCCTTCTCATTACCTTTTTTATTTTCAAGCTCTTTGGATTGAATTTTTCAATAACCAGCTAAGTATGATTACTAGTCTTTGTTAGGTGAGACCCATCTCATCTCAGGAGTCTGTCGTTCTTGTGTTTTAAACTGTGGCCCAGAATCCAAATCACATTCTCAGATACCATATTGTTAATCAATTGTTCATTTTCAAAATCAAATTTTCTCTTCTGCTTTTTCTTACTTCAGTGAGTATCAGTGAAGGAAATGATCATTTTGAGATGAGCTAGAAAAAAAGTCTTACTTAGATTTCATTCATTGGACCTGAGTTAGAATCCTATCTCAGCTACATATTTCCTTTGTGGATTTGCCTGAGTCACTTAACCTCTGTAGGTCTTGGATTTCTTATCGCTAAAATGAGATAGTTCAAACTAAGATCAGACTGAGAGAGCTAGTCCCTGCCCTCAAGGAGGTTACAATCCTCCTACAAGGATGGAAAACAATACACAAAAGGAGTCTAGAAAGCAGAGTGAAGTGAGGAACAGACATCTAGGGGTATCTTGTTTCCTAGAGTTGAAACCAGACAGAGCTGCAGATACAAAGTCAAGGGGGTGGATGTCCAATTCCTGCCCTCTATAAAGGAAGGTTTTGGGAGGAGTTTGGTATTCCACCTTCCAGTTCTCTAATCAAAGTAGAAAGGAGGCTGAGGGAGGTGGCAGCTAGTCTTGAATTAGCTACATGGTTAAGCCATTAGAAGTGAAGAGCTCATCCTGGGTGAGGCATCTTGTTCTTGGAATTGAAACCAGTCAGGGTTACAGATGCAAAGTGGAGTCAGCTGGACATCCAATTTCTGATCTCTATAATGGAAAGCTTCAGTAATGACTGATGAAGGATGAGCAGTGGCTGACAAAAGTGGGATAGAGGCATTCCACCTATAGTTACAGTTGTGAGCAAAGGCATAGGGACCTGAAAGTGGATAGAGTTTAGCTCCCATTGCCACGTCCTCTAGCTAGTAGTAAGTTCTGTGTCTGAGTCTGGTTAACCCACCTTGAGAAATCCCTGCTCTAGATCCTTGCCTTCATTGCATCTTAGTTCCTGAAACCTTTTTGGATGACCTGGTCACTAAGACCATTACAGTTCTCAGAAAACAGTGGTTCTTTAGCCAGCATGAGGAGTTAATTATACTGTGGAAGACCTCCATTGTACTGTACTCCTTCTATGTGGCTTTCCATAAAAATACCAAAGGCTAGACATTAA